GTGGTAATAAAATGTTACATTATTTAAATTATTTCACTGATGAGGTGAGCCTTGCTTCGCCTGTTTATGCATTCCGTTTATATGGCTACATTTTGTCCAGTCTTGTTATTTTTAATCCTCTACCCTGCATTTCCTCAGAGCAAAATAAGCTATGGCTTGTATCTAGAAAGTCTGTAAAACTGAAAGTCGTAAATAAAAATCAAATTAGCTTTTCGACGCGTTCCGATGTTACCTTGCATGTTAATAGTTTTTGGAGCTGATATTTGAGCCGGAACAGGAGACAAGAGACTTTTTGTTTTGTTCTTCTTTAGGGCCTTCTGTGCTCGCTCCCCCACCCGAAGCCTGCCCTTCTTCCAGAGTTGAGGAAGATCACGGGTCCTCACTCCCATACTAATATGAGGGAGATCCAAGACGAGCTGCCCAGCAGGGGTTTATCTCTCCCCTACTCTCCACCTCTACCTGTGGGAGGGTTCTGCTTTTCAAAGAGGAGAGGAACTTATGTGAGCTTCTTCCCGCTGGGCAGAAACTGATAAGGCCTTCACCCTACTTGCTGGAACCATGCCTGAGCTGCTCTCACACAGGTACACGAGTTTGACGCCACAGAGCAGACGTATAGTGGTATGTATGTAACAATTAAATATTGATAAAGCGTGCAGAATAATGCAAGAGTCCTTGCAGAACGGGTTGCCCATAGGGCAAATGAAAAAATATAGGTACGAGTCACAGACACACGCAAAGGCACAGGGTAGACAGCACATACCTGTATACAGAATCTCCCACATGGGAAATCACTCCATCAATATAACAGACTCACAGAATAATGCAGAAACACACAGACATACACATTATCATCTGTCTTGTACTTGCACACAGTCAAACAAATTCAGTCTTTCAAATTGGCCTACATGCCCATGTTTCCAGGCTTGGTTAAACCAGGTTTGCATAGTGTTATGAATAACCTACTATAAGGCCCCAGGTCCTCAATAGCACTCATCTGTTCGATAGCTAGGAGGACTTACTAACAGGCAACGTCCACATATTGAAGCAAGCCAGATAAGTATGCCTACTCTCTTAAGTCTCACATAACATTCACTTCCCGTCTTTACACGTCATCCTCGGGTGCCCCCTCCTCTTGCAGACCCCAGCCCTGTCCCACTATAATGAAATGCAGGGCGGCAGACAAACAAGCGTCTGTGGCCCGGCTTCTCCACAGCACAGACCCATACATTACACCAGAAGACAGCTCGTCAGGTAAGCAAGTATTCAGCGGTCGCCGTGGGAACCGCACGCTGCAGCCTTGACTACCCTTGCGGCCTTTACCTGAACCAGAATGGAAAAACTGCTGCCCGTCACGGCCGGCCTCGTCTGGTTTAAACAAACAAGAAGGGCAGACTGTGCCCAGGAGGGGGATAGGGGAGGTTGTTTTTGTGTGTCTGAGGAGGAGAGTGCTGATGCGGAATAGCAGCTAAGACAGACAGACGCTCCCTGAGCTCAGAGTAGCAGGCCCTGCTCCTGTGTGTAGCTCAGAGGCGGAGACAGGCAGCACAGCAGGCCTCTGACAGAGCACATTTTTATGGGAGTGTCTGCCGGAATGTGCGCTGCTGCGGGCACTGTGGTCACGATTTTCCAGAGAACACGGTCGCGGTTCTGCTTATGTTCAGTTCACCTGAATGCTAGCCAGAACACCCAGAAACAGTTTACATGAATATGTAAGGAATCGTTTTATTTTGGGGTCTACATTTCATTCCAAGGCAAGGGTTGTCAATTTAATCTACATCCTGTTGGACAACCATAACAAGGGCCTTGTTCTCGCACAACAAGGAGTATGAGGAGTTCAAACCCATGGGCGCGCAGTGCACATACAAGTATCGGCATCTCTGATGTCTGGTAATGTTCTCCATCGTCTCTCACCAGACGCTCCATCTATCGACCCAAATAGATAACACCCACTTACAGCGATCGACTCCACAAGGCCTTCCAATGCCCATTAGACAAATTATAAACTCGCCCCCGGCATCACTAGGCTAGAGAGGGTAGGAAATGCCTATGCATGTTCTCTCACCACAAAAGGTGACCACGCCCACAACCTCCACTAGAGTAATGCAATGTGCACTCTGCTCAGTGCACTCTGGCAGCAAAAGTAACAGACCATCAAATGACAAGAAGAGGGACCACATGAGAATATGTGATTATTTTAGCCTTGGCCTATCCTGTGTGCAAAAAGAAGTGGGGACAGGGATTGGGTGGTTCAGCTTGATTGACAAGAGTGTACATGTGCCATAAAGCTAGTGTAATTTCCGTTGGCAGCATAAATAACATGAGACAACGACTGAACAACATGCTGCAGAACATGTGTTACTGCAATACTGAGTCACAAGAGACTAAACAGACAATACCACGATAGTACAGTCACTGTTTTCTATTACACTCGCTAGCCTATGCGTGCACACACACAAAGCCCTCACAAATGGATGTTGTGATAGACATTGAGTGGACTTTTAAAAGCCTTGACAATTTGACTGAACATGTGAAGCATGGCTCTGTTCCCTTGGAGTTTTAAATCTTCCACACCCTGATAGATTACACTTCCTTATCCGGAGTAGCTTGTGTGAGCTGCTAGCAAACACTGGATTTTGACACTATTGCAACTGAACAACTCCAAATTATTGTTCCAACCAGAAAACAGCATCCCGAAAAAACAAGATTGGCACTGATACAAATTACAAAAGGTAGTTTTGGGCTTTGAAATTGGCGATGGTAACGTATCACTTGATTATTTCTGGATTTAGGGAGAACTGAAACTAACTAGTTAAACTTTGAAATCACTAACATACTCATTAATCTCGCTAGCTAGGTTCGTTAACGGAAATTAACAATTTGGGCTAACCTAGTAAAGTAGATTGTACAATGCAATGGAGTAAAAGTTCATCTTTATTGACCAGCAAACTAGTTAATCATAATTGATAGTTGTATGCCATAAATCACAATCTGATACTGACTGGTCTGATGTTTGGCTGATGGCAATGCTAACCACGTTCCTGTCTTTGATAACGTTAACGTAGCTAGCCAGACGTTAACGCAGCGAGCTAAAACGGGCTTGTTTGTGGTGAAAACAGGAAACGATTCGTTCAAGCATTCAAATCTGTGAAAATCCAATGTGGCAAATGTGAAATTAAAATAAGATAATTTAAACGTCTAGTTAGTTAGTTAACATAGCTAGCTGGTAAACCTAATTAGTTAGCTAACTAAACGGTTAACAAACTAATCAAAAAGCAAGTTAGCTAACGTTACTAGTCTTTCGCATCCACACAGACAGGTAACGTGCTATCTAGCTAATGTTAGTTAGCCTACCTGACCGGGCATCACAAATCATTAACAAACACGCTAAAGAAAATTGTATTGAAAATTGAATGTATAATACACAAACAGAAGCAGATGACTGCGAATTAAAATGCTTGGTTGCAAATATTTTTTCCCTTACCTTGTCCAGACAATTCACTTTTTCCGTGGGGTACACGATTGTGCCACATCTGCCACACGACGGATTCATGTTTGAGGAATGCTGGATAAATTAGACGATAAAAAAAAATATCTGTCGAGTAAAAGTGTTCTTCCCAAACAATACGGGTCGAGTTTGATGGCTGGATTGATCAAATCCCGGAGATTGTTGTCGTTATAATCGCACAGCTGGCTGTCAGTACACGACCCAGACACGTAAAGCGCGGGCACGGCGCTTCTCTTTCCAATGCCGCGCTCCCGATGAGAAAGGAAAGAGGGCGGTCCCACGGGGAGACGCTTCATTTCAGAGGCGACGTTGATAATTGGAAAGATCTATGGAGATCCATCAGCGTATACTATATTTGATATTTGTATTATTTTAAATTATACTGAAATCCAACGCAAATAGCAATACTCAATGCTTTTTAGTTGGTTGATTCCATGGAATGCGGAACTAGATTTATCACACCAGTCACTTGTCGTCACTAGTTACCACATCCACAAAGTCATAAACCCCGCCTATTTCTACAATGTATCTTCCTAAATGTTGATTTTAAACCTAACCCCAACCTTAACCCTAAACGTAACCCCACTGCTAACCTTATGTCTAACCCTAATCTTGAATTAAGACCAAAAAGCTAATTTGTGTTTTCATTAACTTTTTCGATATAGCCTATTTTTACTTTGTGGCTGTGCTATCTAGTGGAAACCACCATCACGGTGGACAAGCGCACGACAAAATCGTCAACATGACATATGGAAAAAGTATCTAGAATACACTCCAACGCTTTTTATTCCACATGATGATCATGACATCTGCCACAATCTGTATGTAGGCTACTGTGTAGGACTACATGGACGAAAGTTGCAAATACATTTGGTTTGGGTGACATCTGCTGTCGCAAATCAGAATTGGTTTCACTGGTCAGGATGCACAAATTATACACTTTGAGTTTCTCCTTTTCTGATTGACATTACAATTAAACATTATTCATTAAAATGCCTTTATTCTGTCAAAGTACTATATTTCAAAACATTATCCTCAATCTGACTTTAATTACATTTGGAAGGTCAAGGTCATGTATGAAGAGCACTCTGCTGTTTTGAAGTCATTGAATTGCCTCTGGTCAATTTATGAAATACATTCTTGGCATATATAAAAAGCTATACAGGTACAAAACATTCAAACATGAACTGTACAATAAAAAAGAAGTTGCAGAGATGATCATTGAAAAACATCCACTACTGCTCTTCGTTCTTGTCATGGAAGTGCAGGGATACAGAGTCCTTTATAGTGTTTTTTCCATGGATGTTGACAGTCATAATGTATCACAGTTTATTCCAGTTACATGTCCCATGGAGGTGTGTGGTAAATGGTGAGATAGCAATCCGTACCTGCTGAGAAACTTGGAACTCATCCACACCCATAATGAACAAAGACATTAATAATAATAATAATATATAATAATGATAATAATAATAATATGCCATTTAGCAGACGCTTTTATCCAAAGCGACTTACATTCTAGCAAAGCCTAAAAGTGGCCTCTTCTCCCTTGTCCCTTTCCCTAATACCTGAGGATGTGTAAGAGAAGAGTTCGAGACTTTGTCCACCAAAAATTATGAAAAATGCCACCCACTTTTTAGCCAACAAAGACGGGGACGATATTGAGGTGAATATAAAAAAATTAATGAACAAAAAAACATTATTTGTTTAATGGAGTAAGGGATGTGTGTGTAACTCTAAACTCCCTCCTTCCTCTCCTACAAACTCATTTTAATCTCCTCATCATCCAGTTGCTCCTCAGTCCGGTCAGCACTGGCCAGCTTCCATGATGCCCTCCTTCTCTTGACCTTCAACCTCCACCTCTGCGTAGCTGGAGTGGAATCCCTGCTTCCTGAACTTCATGGATGGCCAGTAGCTGTTGCGTCGCTATTGAAATAAGATCATACAGGTCATTGTTTTAAAAGGTTAAAGAGAATGGGAGGAGAAGTCTATATTTAGCAGGACATAGACTGACAGAGCTGGCTGAATGTGAGCCCTGATAGTGTTACTAACCTGTAGGAAGTAGAGGGGTGAGGCAGCAGAAGGATGAGAGTTGATGTAAAGAGCCAGCAGTGTCACAGCCAGGAGTAGCACCAATGCAGCTACTACACCTGCTATAACTCCTGTGTGAGCTGACCCGTCGTGTTGTCTCTGGGGGCCTGTCTTCACATCTAACCAGGAAAGAGAGACAATCCTGTATCATGGCTCCATATACAGTGAGCGAAAAAAGTATTTGATCCCCTGCTGATTTTGTACGTTTGCCCACTGACAAAGACATGATCAGTCTATCATTTTGATGGTAGGTTTATTTGAACAGTGAGAGACAGAATAACAACAACAAAAATCCAGAAAAACTCATTTAAAAAATGTTATGAATTGATTTGCATTTTAATGAGGGAAATAAGTATTTGACCCTTCTGCAAAACATGACATAGTACTTGGTGGCAAAACCCTTGTTGGCAATCACAGAGGTCAGACGTTTCTTGTAGTTGGCCACCAGGTTTGCACACATCTCAGGAGGGATTTTGTTCCACTCCTCTTTGCAGATCTTCTCCAAGTCATTAAGGTTTCGAGGCTGATGTTTAGCAATTCGAACCTTCAACTCCCTCCACAGATTTTCTATGGGATTAAGGTCTGGAGACTGGCTAGGCCACTCTAGCACCTTAATGTGCTTCTTCTTGAGCCACTCCTTTGTTGCCTTGGCCATGTGTTTTGGGTCATTGTCATGCTGGAATTCTCATCCACGACCCATTTTCAATGCCCTGGCTGAGGGAAGGAGGTTCTTACCCAAGATTTGACGGTACATGGCCCCGTCCATCATCCCTGTGATGCGGTGAAGTTGTCCTGTCCCCTTAGCAGAAAAACACCCCCAAAGCATAATGTACCCACCTCCATGTTTGACGGTGGGGATGGTGTTCTTGGGGTCATAGGCAGCATTCCTCCTCCTCCAAACACGGCGAGTTGAGTTGATGCCAAAGAGCTCGATTTTGGTCTCATCTGACCACAACACTTTCACCCAGTTCTCCTCTGAATCATTCAGATGTTCATTGGCAAACTTCAGACGGGCATGTATATGTGCTTTCTTGAGCAGGGGGACCTTGCGGGCGCTGCAGGATTTCAGTCCTTCACGGCGTAGTGTGTTACCAATTGTTTTCTTGGTGACTATGGTCCCAGCTGCCTTGAGATCATTGACAAGATCCTCCCGTGTAGTTCTGGGCTGATTCCTCACCGTTCTCATGATCATTGCAACTCCACGGGGTGAGATCTTGCATGGAGCCCCAGGCCGAGGGAGATTGACAGTTATTTTGTGTTTCTTCCATTTGCGAATAATCGCACCAACTGTTGTCACCTTCTCACCAAGCTGCTTGGCGATGGTCTTGTAGCCCATTCCAGCCTTGTGTAGCTCTACAATCTTGTCCCTGACATCCTTGGAGAGCTCTTTGGTCTTGGCCATGGTGGAGAGTTTGGAATCTGATTGATTGATTGCTTCTGTGGACAGGTGTCTTTTATACAGGTAACAAGCTGAGATTAGGAGCACTCCCATTAAGAGTGTGCTCCTAATCTCAGCTCGTTACCTGTATAAAAGACACCTGGGAGCCAGAAATCTTTCTGATTGAGAGGGGGTCAAATTTCCCTCATTAATTTCCCTCATTAAAATGCAAATCAATTTATAACATTTTTGACATGCGTTTTTCTGGATTTTTTTGTTGTTATTCTGTCTCTCACTGTTCAAATAAACCTACCATCAAAATGATAGACTGATCATGTCTTTGTCAGTGGGCAAACGTACAAAATCAGCAGGGGATCAAATACTTTTTTCCCTCACTGTACACAATTCAAAGTGAATAAAGATCCACCCACCTTTACCATTGTATAGAATCACATGTTTGGTGTCATCTGCAGGAAGATCAAATGTAGGAGCCATTTGAATATTGAGCAGTTAGGACTCAAACTGCTTCCATTGTTATTTTCCTGAACTCAATTTCTGTGCAATTTCTTTGCATGTTCCAAGAACACTCAGATTACTGTAGGCACTGGCTAAAGAGAGACACTGAGCACTAGAGGATTACTATGGCATCATTGTTCTTGCTCTGTTTAACACTGCTGCATGCACAGTTGAACTCTGATACTCCGATATAAACCCGCCCAGGCACACTCATTTACACCCTTGACTTACTCTCCGTGGCAGGGCCTTCTAGTAGGGACCCCAGGGGAGTGGTGACCTCAGAGTCTGAGGGAACTGAAGGGTCAATGGAGCTGTCTGGTCCCCCCCTGGAATAATCCTCACAGGTGACATCTTCGGCCTGTCCATATAATGGATGAGAATTGTGGTTTTAACAGAGGAAGCTTAGACTGTGATTTACATTTGATGTACAGTACATGTAAAGTATGTGAACGTTCATTGACATTGTCCAATTGTACCTCTTCTGAACAGGCGTAGTCCAGCCACTCCTGCCTGTGTCTGTCCATTCCATCTGAGCACCTGAAACAGATACAGATGTCAAACACAAAGAAACAAGGACTCCTTTATTCAGATACACTCCTCTCCTGCTCACCTCTGGAGGACATTGCACCAGGTACAGCCAGAGGTTAGGTTGGACAAGAGGCAGAGTTCACAGCTGTCATGCTGCAGACAGGCTGGACAGAGGGAGGGAGAGACAGATTGACCTGGGTTTTGATTCTGTAGCGACATGATTGGCATTGGCATTAACATTATAAAGATCTCTAAGCTGTGCCTGTGACTGGTTATTGAGGATGAAATATCTGAGAGGCCTGTATGAGGGATAGATTTTAGCTGCTTACTAGGCAATGCAGTGAACTCAAAGGCAGAGTTGTTGGTGATCTTAGTTGTATCGATGTCCACCCGATGGTACTCGTAGAGCCGACGTTGGGCATCTATGTGAGACATATCGTTTCAGGTAATTTTAGCAAAAGTCTTTGACATCAAAGACTTGCCTACCTGGATAACTGTTGGTTAGGGTTAGGGAACCCCTTGCTGCTAACCTGAGGATTGAGTGGAAGGCAGGTTCACCATGAATGCATCTGATAACCCTGTCTTCACTTGGTGCTCAGCAGAACTTATCACCTCCACTGGCAAAGGTATCTGAAAGAGTGAGAGAGACAGGTAGAGAAAAATGGGCAGAGAAACAGAAAAGTGTGACTGTGTTTAGATGGAATACATTAAAATCAGAGACGTTCATAAGTGTGCATGTTGTAAGTCTCGCTCACATCTCTGTAGCTGAAGGTGATGGTCCCTGTGAGGTGCAGGGCAGCCTGGAAGGTGTATGCCCCCTCTGCCTCCCTCCCATGGAGTCTCACCCGCTCCCACTGCACCACAAACACCTCACCTGGGGTCAGTACAGGACAGGTCACACAGAGGTCAACCAAGGGTCAAAAGTCAAATAACAAGAGCTGTCTGAATGTTACTCTATGGCTCACCATTGTCCAGGTACTGCACAGTAGACTCCTTGGAAAAGCTGGGGTCAAAGTTGGCCATGAGGGGGGCGATGTACTGTGTTGCTGTCAGCATGCGGTGTGTGACCTCTCCCATGAAAATAAACCCTGGGGAAGGTCAGAGGTCAGGGTTCTATGGAGATGCATGGCAAGTGGCAACTGGTAGTTACATTTAATTCCTTCTAGGCTTAATGTAAGTAACAAGCAGGGAGTATAAAGGAAGAAATATGATAAGTGGCTCCATCTGAGTTTGAACAACTTGCCATGTGTCGGAAGAATAATGAAATGTACCTCCTGTTGCTATGGTAATCTGCCTCAAGTAATGTCCGTAGAAGGGGAAGTCAAACGAGAGGGCAACCTTCTGGAAAACGAGGAAGAGAGATAGGGAGGGAAATTAAATGTGCGTGCGCGCGCGCGTGTGTGTGTGTGTATCTGTGTGTATAACTCACCGCAGCCTGTCTGTGTGTATTGGACAAAATTCCATGCATTCTGACTTGGCCATGCTCTAGGTCGTTTAGATCTACCCAGAGTTCATCTGTGCGCTGGTCATCAGGGCCAAAACTACGCCATGTGTAATACCTACCAGCGTCCTCCTGTTATAGAAACAGTAGAGGTGAGGGCAAGAGGAGAAGTTGAGGGATGGGATGGGAGAAATAAAATAATGGTGTGAGAGGAGGTGGAGATGAGATGTTATAATGAACAACAGGGTTAACAATGAAAGCAACATTTGAATGCAAGCCCATAATAAACAAACAAACACACGCTCTACATTGAGTTCCAGTCTCCAGTATATTACATAGTAGTTTACCAAGAGAGGGGTACTAAATATTGTGTCAATGTGCAGCGGTAGGACGGAGTCAGGCGCAGGACACAGAACTGAGTAAACAACGTACTTACTCGTAAATAAACAACACTAATTTCCACGCATGGAAAACACACCAGCTCACATAAGTCTTAGACACAAAACAAAGAACAAACACGCACAAAACCATGTGGGAACCAGAGGGTTAAATAGGGAAATAATATAATGTAATGGGAACCAGGTGTGTACAATCAAGACAAAAGAAATGGAAGAAGAAACGTAGATCAGTGGCAGCTAGAAAGCCGGTGACAACGACCGCCGAACACCACCCGAACAAGGAGAGGCACCAACTTCGGCGGAAGTCGTAACAGTACCCCGCCCCTTGACGCGCAGCTCCAGCAGCGCGCCGACACCGGCCTCGGGGACGACCCGGAGGACGAGGCGCAGGACGATCCGACTGTGAAATTCCTGCAGTAAGCAAGGGTCCAGGAAGTCCTCCACCGGCACCCAGCATCTCTCCTCCGGACTGTACCCCTCCCACTCCACGAGGTACTGAAGGCCCCTCGCCCGATGCCTTGAGTCCATGATGGCTCGTACAGTATACGCCGGGACCCCCTCGATGTCCAGAGGGGGCAGAGGAACCTCCCGCACCTCAGACTGCTGGAGCGGACCTGCCACCACCGGCCTGAGGAGAGACACATGGAACGAGGGGTTAATACGGTAATCAGGGGGGAGCTGTAACCTATAGCATACCTCGTTCAGTCTCCTCAGGACTTTAAATGGCCCCACAAACCGCGGACCCAGCTTCCGGCAGGGCAGGCGAAGGGGCAGGTTTCAGGTCGAGAGCCAGACCCGGTCCCCCGGTGCATACACTGGGGCCTTACTGTGGTGGCGGTCGGCGCTCGCCTTCTGTCGCCTGATGGCCCGTTGCAGGCGCACATGGGCAGCGTTCCATGTCTCCTCCGAGCGCCGAAACCATTCATCCACCGCAGGTGCCTCGATCTGGCTCTGATGCCATGGTGCCAGGACCGGCTGATAACCTAGTACACACTGAAATGGAGGCAAGTTAGTGGAGGAGTGGCAGAGGGAGTTTTGGGCCATCTCTGCCCAGGGGATGAAAGCCGCCCACTCCCCCGGCCGGCCCTGGCAATAGGACCGCATAAACCTACCCACATCCTGGTTAACTCTCTCCACCTGCCCATTACTCTCGGGGTGAAAACCTGAGGTCAGGCTGACCGAGACCCCCAGACGTTCCATGAACGCCCTCCAGACCCTCGATGTGAACTGGGGACCCCGATCAGACACTATATCCTCAGGCACCCCGTAGTGCCGGAAGACATGGGTAAACAGGGCCTCCGCAGTCTGTAGGGCATTAGGGAGACCGGGAAAAGGAAGGAGACGGCAGGACATAGAAAACTGATCCACAACGACCAGGATCGTGGTGTTACCTTGTGATGGAGGAAGATCCGTCACGAAGTCCACCGATAGGTGTGACCACGGCCGTTGTGGAACGGGTAGGGGTTGTAATTTCCCTCTGGGCAGGTGTCTAGGTGCCTTGCACTGGGCACACACCGAGCAGGAGGAAACATAAACCCTCACGACCTTAGCTAAAGTGGGCCACCAGTACTTCCCACTAAGACAGCGCACTGTCCAACCGATGCTAGGATGACCAGAGGAGGGTGACGTGTGGGCCCAACAGATCAATCGATCACGGACATCAGATGGAACGTACAGACGCCCAACTGGACACTGGGTGGGAGTGGGCTCCGTACGTAATGCCCGCTCGATGTCCGCATCAACCTCCCATACCACCGGTTCCACCAGGCAAGAAGCCGGAAGTATGGGAGTGGGATCCATGGACCGCTCCTCCGGGACAGTGCGTCTGTCTTAGCGTTCTGGGAACCTGGTCTGTAGGATAGGGTGAAAACAAAACGGGTGAAAAACATGGCCCACCTTGCCTGGCAAGGGTTCAGTCTCCTCGCCGCCCGGATGTACTCCAGATTGCGGTGGTCAGTTCAAATGAGGAAAGGATGTTTAGCCCCCTCAAGCCAATGCCTCCACGCCTTCAGAGCCCTGATAACAGCTAACAGCTCCCGGTCCTCCACATCATAGTTTTGCTCCGCCGGGCTGAGCTTCTTTGAAAAGAAAGCACAGGGACGGAGCTTTGGTGGCGTACCCGAGCGCTGAGACAGCACAGCTCCTATCCCAGCCTCGGACGCGTCCACCTCTACTATGAATGCCAAGGAGGGATCAGGATGAGCCAGCACGGGAGCCGAAGGTAAACAGAGCCTTCAGGTGACCAAAAGCCCTGTCCGCCCCAGCTGACCACTGCAGTCGCACCGGTCCCCCCTTTAGCAAGGAGGTAATGGGAGCCGCTACCTGACCAAAGCCCCGGATAAACCTCTGGTAGTAGTTGGCAAACCCTAAGAATCGCTGCACCTCATTTACCGTGGTTGGAGTCGGCCAATTACGCACGGCTGAAATGTGGTCATTCTCCATCTCCACCCCTGACGCGGACAGGCGGTACCCTAGGAAGGAGACGGACTATTGGAAGAACAGACATTTCTCAGCCTTGAAAAAAATAAAAAAATAAAAAATATAAAAAATATAAATAAATAAATAAATAAAAAAAACATACAAGTCATGCTCCAACAGTCGACCAAGCACCTTGTGCACCAGGGAAACATGCTCGGCGCGTGTAGCGGAGTATATTAGAATGTCATCTATATACACCACTACACCCTTCCCGTCCAGGTCCCTGAAAATCTCGTCTACCAGAGGTGGTACTAAATGCCGTCTTCCACTCATCCCCCTCCCGAATACGCACCAGGTTGTAAGCGCTCCTGAGATCCAATTTGGTGAAGAAGCGTGCCCCGTGCAATGACTCTGTCACACTGGCGATGAGAGGCAGTGGGAAACTGTACTTCACAGTGATCTGATTTAGACCTCGATAGTCAATGCACGGGCGTAAACCTCCATCCTTCTTCTTCACAAAAAAGAAACTCGAGGAGGCAGGTGAAGTGGAAGGCCGAATGTATCCCTGTCCCAGAGATTCGGAGACATACGTTTCCATAGCTGCCGTCTCCTCCTGAGACAGAGGATACACGTGACTCCTGGGAAGTGCTGCGCCTACCTGGAGATTTATCGCACAATCCCCCTGTCGATGGGGTGGTAGTTGAGTCGCCTTCTTTTTACAGAAGGCGACAGCCAAATCGGCATATTCGGGGGGAATGTGCATAGTGGAGACCTGGTTTGGACTCTCCACCGTAGTTGCACCTATGGAAACACCTACACACCTCCCTGAGCACTGACGTGACCATCCCTTGAAAGCCCTCTGTTGCCACGAAATAGTGGGGTCATGAGAGGCCAACCAGGGAAGCCCCAACACCACAGGAAACGCAGGAGAATCGATCAGGAAGAGACTAATTCTCTCCTCATGACTCTCCTGCGTTTTCATACATAGTGGAGCTGTGACCTCCCTAATCAGGCCCAACCCTAAAGGATGACTATCTAAGGCATGTACAGGGAAGGGAACATCAACAGGAACAATAGGGATCCCTAATCTACGTGCAAATGAACCGTCAATAAAGTTCCCAGCTGCGCCTGAATCTACTAGCGCCTTATGCTGGGAAGACGGGGAAAACTCAGGAAATTCTATGCATACACACATGTGCGCAACAGAGAGCTCTGGGTGAGTCGGGTGCCTACTCACCTGGGATGATCCACCAGTGCCCTGCCTGCTGCCTCAACTCTCTGGGGAACCTCCCCAGCACCGACCAGCAGTGTGCCCTCTGCAGCCACAGTTGGTGCAGGAAACGGCCCCCCCTCCGGTCACCCTAGGAGCAGCGCCTCCGAGCTCCATAGGTGTAGGGTCAGGGGTGCTGGGGAATGGAATGGACGGACCCTGACCCGGACGTCCGCGGGTGGCCAACAGGTTATCCAGCCGTATAGATAAATCCACCAGCTGGTCGAGGGTAAGGGTGGTGTCCCTGCATGCCAGCTCCCGACGAACGTCCTCACGTAGACTACACCGGTAATGGTCGATCAGGGCCCTCTCATTCCATCCCGCGCTGGCAGCCAAGGTCCTGAAGTCCAGTGCGAAGTCCTGTGCGCTCCTCTTCCCCTGTCTGAGGTGGAGCAAGCGTTCCCCCGCCGCTCTCCCCTCAGGTGGATGATCGAAAACCGCCCAGAAGCGGCGGGTGAAATCCTCATACCGAACCAACGCTGCGTCTATTCCTCCCCATTTGGCGTTGGCCCACTCAAGCGCTCTCCCCGACAGACAGGAGATGAGGTTGGACACGCTCTCGTATCCCGAGGGAGCCGGGTGGATAGTCACCAGGTAGAGCTCCACCTGGAGCAGGAACCCCTGGCACCCGGCAGCCATCCCATCATATGCTCTCGAGAGCGAGAGCCAAATCCCACTGGGTACAGGTGACAGAGGGGTGGACATCGGTGTGGGTTGATCTGAAGTTGATGGGGTTGTGGGAAAACCCCCTCTCTCCCATCGCTCCATGGTCTGCAACACGCGATCCATGGCTGTGCCAAGATTCTGGAGCATCGTCGTGTGCGGCTGGACGCGCTCCTCCACTGGTACCGGAGGACTGGATGCACCTGCTGACTCCATATGTGGTGCGTGTTTCTGTCAAGTGTCAATGTGCAGCGGTAGGACGGAGTCAGGCGCAGGACACAGAACTGAGTAAACGACGTACTTACTCGAAAAATAAACAACGCTAATTTCCACGCAGGAAAAACACACCAGCTCACATAAGTTTTTGACACAAAACAAAGAACAAACACACACAAAACCATGTGGGAACCAGAGGGTTAAATATGGAAATAATATAATGTAATGGGAACCAGGTGTGTACAATCAAGACAAAACAAATGGAGAAAAAAACGTAGATCGGTGGCAGCTAGAAAGCCGGTGACAACGACCGCCGAACGCCGCCCGAACAAGGAGAGGCACCAACTTCGGCGGAAGTCGTGACAAATATAAAGAATGCAGGGTGCATACTAAATAAGTTAAGGGGATACGCTTTTAGAAACCTTAGGATATCCTTGAATGTCTTGGACTGCAAATTTCAGCAGCAAGGTTGAAATTATTCATTGCAATTTGATTTGGTCTACATTGTTCAACTCATTTTCAATATACCCTCTGCAGTCTAATGCAGTTCAACATTGATTTGTTTTGTATAAGGCCAGCAGGGATCAGTATTCTACCACCACAACTGGAACAAGCGAATCTCCCATTGACATACTGTATATACACATCACTAGTGTGTTGTTGGACCACTGCCCCAGCGCCACTCACCACTAAGTGTGTCATGTTGTCTGGTAGGGTGTCGATGGTCAGTCCTCCTCCCAGTACCTCCCTAGCCACCCTGGCATAACCCAGCCTCGGCTCTCTGGGGGTCCTGTGTGATGGCTTCTCATGCCGCTGTCCATTCACATGATACCGCATCTCTGTCCAAAACACAGTGAGTCAGTGACACAGATCAAGTCAGTGTCAGTCAGAAGATCCATGTTTGAACCCCCTCTGTCAATTATAAACAAGCTACTCTGAAGATATGTAACCAAGCTACCAATTACTTCTCACTGGACGAAGTTAAGCTACACTAACTAAAGTTACTAAAAAAGTATTTAGTCAGCCACCAATTGTGCAAGTTCTCCCACTTAAAAAGATGAGAGAGGCCTGTAATTTTCATCATAGGTACACGTCAACTATGACAGACAAAATGAGCATTTTATTTCCAGAAAATCACATTGTAGGATTTTTAATGAATTTATTTGCAAATTATGGTGGAAAATAAGTATTTGGTCAATAACAAAAGTTTCTCAATACTTTGTTATATACCCTTTGTTGGCAATGACACAGGTCAAACGTTTTCTGTAAGTCTTCACAAGGTTTTCACACACTGTTGCTGGTATTTTGGCCCATTCCTCCATGCAGATCTCCTCTAGAGCAGTGATGTTTTGGGGCTGTCGCTGGGCAACACGGACTTTCAACTCCCTCCAAAGATTTTCTATGGGGTTGAGATCTGGAGACTGGCTAGGCCACTCCAGGACCTTGAAATGCTTCTTACGAAGCCACTCCTTCGTTTCCCGGGCGGTGTGTTTGGGATCATTGTCATGCTGAAAGACCCAGCCACGTTTCATCTTCAATGCCCTTGCTGATGGAAGGAGGTTTTCACTCAAAATCTCACGATACATGGCCCCATTCATTCTTTCCTTTACAGAGATCAGTCGTCCTGGTCCCTTTGCAGAAAAACAGCCCCAAAGCATGATGTTTCCACCCCCATGTTTTACAGTAGGTATGGTGTTCTTTGGATGCAACTCAGCATTCTTTGTCCTCCAAACACGACGAGTTGAGTTTTTACCAAAAAGTTCTATTTTGGTTTCATCTGACCATATGACATTCTCCCAATCCTCTTCTGGATCATCCAAATGCACTCTAGCAAACTTCAGACGGGCCTGGACATGTACTGGCTTAAGCAGGGGGACACGTCTGGCACTGCAGGATTTGAGTCCCTGGCGGCGTAGTGTGTTACTGATGGTAGGCTTTGTTACTTTGGTCCCAGCTCTCTGCAGGTCATTCACTAGGTCCCCCTGTGTGGTTCTGGGATTTTTGCTCACTCATTTTGACCCCACGGGGTGAGATCTTGCGTGGAGCCCCAGATCGAGGGAGATTATCAGTGGTCTTGTATGTCTTCCATTTCCTAATAATTGCTCCCACAGTTGATTTCTTCAAACCAAGCTGCTTACCTATTGCAGATTCAGTCTTCCCAGCCTGGTGCAGGTCTACAATTTTGTTTCTGGTGTCCTTTGACAGCTCTTTGGTCTTGGCCATAGTGGAGTTTGGAGTGTGACTGTTTGTGGTTGTGGACAGGTGTATTTTATACTGATAACAAGTTCAAACAGGTGCCATTAATACAGGTAACGAGTGGAGGACAGAGGAGCCTCTTAAAGAAGAAGTTACAGGTCTGTGAGAGCCAGAAATCTTGCTTGTTTGTAGGTGACCAAATACTTATTTTCCACCATAATTTGCAAATAAATTCATTAAAAATCCTACAATGTGATTTTCTGGAGAAGAAATATCTCAATTCGTCTGTCATAGTTGACGTGTACCTATGATGAAAATTACAGGCCTCTCTCATCTTTTTAAGTGGGAGAACTTGCACAATTGGTGGCTGACTAAATACTTTTTCCCCCACTGTAGTTCACTAAATCCAAACTACTTTGTGATAAATGATCACATCTAAATCTGAAATGTCATGGACTACAAATTGCAAGAACTGATCACTCTGTAGTCAGATGTCAACAGAATGTTTAATTTAGCCCATTAAACACAAAAACAGTTTCAAGTGAGAATTAGGCAGGTCTGATGCTGAAAAATAAAGGAAATTCTTGCCTACCCATATTTTCTATTTGCATCTATGGAAAACACCACCTAGATTAGAATGTAGTTCAACTACCACCAAGCTATTGCAAAATGTATTTAACTACTGAAAACACCACCTAGATTAGAATGTATTTCAACTACCGCCAAGCTACTGCTAAATGTAATTAACTACTGAAAACACCACCTGGATTAGAATATAGTTCAACTACCACCAAGCTACTGCAAAATGTAATTAACTACTGAAAACACCACCTAGATTAGAATGTATTTCAACTACCGCCAAGCTACTGCTAAATGTAATTAACTACTGAAAACACCACCTGGATTAGAATGTAGTTCAACTACCACCAAGCTACTGCAAAATGTAATTAACTACTGAAAACACCACCTAGATTAGAATGTAGTTCAACTACCACCAAGCTACTGCAAAATGTAATTAAATTACTAGTTGAACTACATGTAGTTTACTACTCCCCAACACTGGCTATAGGTTACTGCATAGCCCTGAACTGAGTGTGTACTACTCAATGCAATGGTTTGGATATTGTGGGCTGAAAGTGAACAAAGCATGAACATATCTCTGGCCATGAGTGAATGCTGGCATGCATTTCAACTTTTGAACTCCTTTTTTCAGAGTTCCTACACCTGCACATGCAAGCACGCACCCACCCATGCACCCGCACACACGCATGCACACACACATAATAATCACAATACAACAAACTAGACTGGCACTTTGCTTTTCTCTCCTCCTCCTATCATTGTCTTGCATATCCCATGGGCTGCAATGTTCTGTCTCTTGGATCCAAAGTTGTGAGCAGTTCCCAAAGCTACTTACAATACAGCATATGTTCCACAACATTCTGCTAAACATTATCCAAACAAATAACTCAATGTGAATTTGAGATCATGTGGGATTAGGAGGGACAAATCTCTGAGGACCTCTGGTTCTCAGATAACACATGTCCCCACATCACTCTGCTTGAGGCCACAATACATCTGGTTATTCTGCCTTTCAGGCCGCAGCCGCATAGAGATTTTGTGTCAGGAAATTACCGATTCAACAAGAACGCATATGGGTAATTCTTCAACTATGGTACTCTTTGAGCTAGACAGTTTCAGAAAATAAAAACATTTCTACAAACAATTTTTTAGTATCAGTTGGTTTCTCAATCTGTCTGGAAACCTTCCCTGAAGTTGGCTGTGATGATTTGTATTTACTAATATATATTTTTTGCCATTTTTATCTGACAGTCCAAGAAAACGGTCATTTCCATCACATAACAAAACATGTATTTTTAAGAGAAAATAATGAAATATCTTCTGTTATAAATATATTTGATTAAATAGCACACACATATCTGTTCAAATTTGTAATTTATTATTTTTTTCAGAAATGTAACTGTAAAGATTTTACAATGTTTACACTAAAAAACACCTAAAACTAGGTCAATGGAACATTTCATTTTCTTATCATAGCTCAAAATCATATATTTCTCAAAGTGTATACACAAATCTTAGCCCTAACTGCACAATTATCAACACCACTGAATATAGTTGGTTTGATTGTATGTTTTTTATATGTTTTACTTTAAAATATGTGTTGTGGTGGAAATGACATGGCGTGGCGGAAGAGACAGTGTGTGGCGGAAATGACAGATAGGCAACTTCCAATTAAAAACAATTGTTCTACTGCTCTATGTGGTGAACCAGAGCAAATCAATAAGCAACAGCATTTGTGAACAAAAACATATCACCAATATTTTTAAATTAAAAACAATCCAAAAAATGAAAAAACATGAATTTGTGTTAAAAATCAGCAAATCATTTCTTCACTGTTTTCTACATGCTGAACTAGAGCAAACTAGTACAAACTAGAGCAAACCCTTTATGTCATCATTACCTTAACATAACCTTAATATAACCAGTTGAATAACAGATAAAATAGGCAATATATTTTGAAATTGAAAACTTATATGCCTATGCTGAACCAGAGCAAACACTCTGTACTTAAACATTACTGTCATGTGTGTTATATCGTAAATCCATGTACTGTCAAACTTAATCATGTGGAATAACAAGTTGAATCTGACTAAATAGACATTGTATTTGCTAAATACTGTATCTGTCAAACTTGCATATAGGCCAGAGGTTCAGTTATGTTTCATGGTCAAGAACAGAGCATATTTCTTTCCAAACTGTTGGCTCCACCATCACATGCCTCTTTGTTACTGGTTGAGGCTCTGGGACCAGCCTGATCACATCTTCTGGCCGGTACCAAATAACATCGTCTCTCATAGGCCAGAAGAACTTGTTTTTGCCAATATGACTCATGGTTCTCACCAGAGCACAACCCTCAGGGTCCACATCCTGTATAATGCCAGGGTAAGGATCCCCATCATACCGTACCACACACCAACTTCCAATCAGTCCCTCATGCAGGTCTATGATGGGTTGAGATGTGCTGGTAAGTGTGCTTGAACTGTACACCTTTGCTTTTGCCTTCACAACCTTTTTTCTCCCTCTTTTCCTCTGTGGAGTTCTCTCTGGTGTAGGCTCACACAGCTGAGGTGTTTCAGGGATGTCTTCTGCATTAACACTCATGTTGTCTGGTGATGGTGGTGGTGTTGTATGTGCCATGAAACTATTCACTGCTGAGACCATTTTCCATTTCCTACGTCTGTTTCGTTGAGAAATTCGCCACTGTCTTCTCATTTTTCGTTGTTCTCTTTTCGGCATTTCTGTCACAGATTTAACAACACCTTGTTGCTTTTTCTTCAGGTATCTTTCTTTGTCCTTCTTGAGGGACTCTGCATATTTAAGTGGATCTGATTTTATTCTTTCTCTGTATGATCTTGACCTCTGTGCTGTGGTATTGCTTGCCATCTTAAAGAAAGAGCCAAGACATCATGTCAAACCTACTTATCTATTGTTCTCTTATTTACCAACAATATTGTAATATTGTTAAAACTGTTTTTGAATTTAGTATCAGTATTATAGCCCAAATAATTTGCTGTTTAGCACGAACAATGTCATTTCCACCACAACCTGTCTTTACCACC